TGTCGCGCACACTCTTTTCAAGCCCGCCAGCGCCCGACTCCGGCGTCCTCAGGCAGCGCTCGCTGCGAGCGCTCACTTCAGAGCTTGACGTGGGACCACCTCCCCCGCCCCAATTTGGGAGAAAACCAGGAGCAGGACAGGAATAGAAATAAAATCGGGAGAGATTTGGAGGGAGACGCAAGGAATGAGGCTGCGACGGTGAGAGATACCCTCAACGAGGCTAAGAGACAGCAGAAAGCTAGGTAGAGACAGAGGAGCGCAGCAGGGGACTGGGAGACCCGGAGTCCAAGGGGGGAGCACAGCCCGAGGAGGTGGTGACACTCAACCCATCTCCACCCTGGAGTCACCTCAGGGCGCCGCGGCCCCAGCCCCATCTCCCGTGGACGCTGAGAAAACCAGTCTTGCATCCAGGAATTGGGAATTAGCCCTAAAACTTGTGCCAACCTGACAGGTCCAGGCCGGGAGGGAGGGAGGCAGACTCCCTCCAGCCTTAAGGGCGCGTTTTCCCTGGGGTCAGTGCCAGAGGTTGGGGGCTCTAGGCCGGGATCCAAACACTTCGCCCAGGGCTTGTCTCACCTTGCTCTGTGCGAGCCAAGGGAAGTCTTTCACGAAGGTCCGCAAATGCCAGGACCAGGCCTCAGGCTCTCCCTTCGCAGTGGAGTCTTTGTGTGATTTTGTGGAGGTCATATCTCCTACCAGAACCCCAGTTTCCACTTATAAATGCGGGGACAATAGCGACCTCTTGGAGTAATTGTGACAATGACAAGCTAAAGAGAGAAGGATATGGAAGTCCCCAGCGGAGGGGCAGGGCGATTGTGGCAAGGGGGCTGGCCTGGGTCCCCAGCACCTGCTGCGTGGTATTCCAAGCGGGCTTCCTAGCCTCTGTGGTGCTGAACCCAGGCAGGACCCATGGAGTCTCCAGGCTTGGTTTCTCTGGATGCCTCAGTTGTACCTCTTCCCTGCAGGCTCCCTGGCACCTGTAGTCCTGCACCCTTACCTGATCTCCCTTCCTGGACTCTGGAAATTTAAGCAATTGTGATCTCCACGCCTTTTCCATTAGCTTCTGGAAGCCATCCTAGCTGGCCTCTCAGGACCCGGGATCTCTCTTCCTACCAGATCCGGAAGGCTCTTTGGGAGTGTTACCTTCTTCAACCTCCAGCAGTGGGAGCAGTGCTGAAGTTACCCCTTCACTCCACTGTATCACTGATGCAGCACAGTTATGGGTGTCCGCTGTAGGTTAGGGACAGACTCTGCCTGCATGGTGCTTACAACAGGACAGGGTGACAAATAAGCCATCAAGTCTACAATGTCAGGAGGTTATGAATTCTACAAAGACAACTAAAGCAAGAGAAGGAGACAAAGTGATGAAGACTATTTTACTATATGGTGCGATCAGGGAAGGCCAATCTGAGCTAATTACATTTGAGCAGAGACCTGAAAGAAGGGAGGTAGAAGCGGAAACCTGGGGCCAGAGAGAGGGAGGCAAATGTGCAAAGGTCCTAGGGCAGTATGATGTTTGTCAGAAAGGAGGCGTATGTGTCCATGAGCCATAAGCTGACTCTCATCTGGAGCTACCAGCCCTGTTGATAGCCCCATTCCTCTCAGCCTGACCTCTTTTCCTTTCTTCCAACACTCTGGTCAGAATGCTGCCTCAGAGCCGTGCGCTGGCTGCTCTAAACTAATAGTGCTTTCCCTTGTCAGCTCATGAATGGCTGCTTTTTATACATCAGGTTAGCTCAAATGTCAAATGCTGCTTCCTTGGGACGAACAGAGTGAGCCAGGGGAGAATGCTGGGAGATGAGTCAGAGCGGGAGAGAAGGGACCAGGGACCGTATTCTGAGACGGAAAGCCATTGGAGGGCTGGAGCAGGAGAAGTGAGTGTCATCACCCAGTTCATTTTAACAGAGACACACCGGTGACTGCAGGGCAAGGGCGGAAGCAAGGAGGCCAATCAGGAGGCTGTCATGAAATCCAAGCGAGCAAGGATGCTACCTAGATTTGGGTGGCAGCAGTAGAGCTGGTGAAAAGTGGTTCATTTCCAGATGGATTTCCAGCAAAATTTATTCAAGATTGGATGTGGATCTGGGGAGAAGAGAGGAGTTAAGGATGGGGAAAGAGCTGGTTTGTGGGTGGCAGATCCAAGGTCCAGCTTGAGCAAAATTTGAAATTCATCTTAAACACCCAGGGGGAGATATAGAATAGGCAGGAGGAGTCATGGGGTTGAGATCCAGAGGGAAGGTGTGATATCAACTTAGTTGGCTTGAGAGATACCTTGGAGATCACTAAAACACACTTCTAGATGTGTCTGGTTGGGCCATACTGGCATGACCACGGGATTATGTCTGGTCCCTGATCCCTTCTCTGGGGCTCTTCTGATCTCTGCTTCCTGAATGGCACGGGGTGAGAAGATTTCTTCTGCCAGGCCCTTCCTGGGGCCATGGTATTTCTGCCTTGGAGCTGACTGACCAGGACTGAAACCTCTGAAATCATCAGCCAAAGTAAACCTCGCCTCCATTCCGTTGCAGGTGTTCAGTGTTTTATCCCAGCAAAAGGAAGCTGACTAACACAACCTGTCCACACTACCTCTAAGCCATCTCCTGAGTGCACCATCCCCAGCGTCACTGTTCTGCACTAAGCTGCCACACGGCTGGGCTGGATGACTCCACTAACCTGCCTGCCCACCTCTCACCCACTCTGGCCCCTGTAATAATCCGTTCACTACACAGCAGCCCCAGAAACCCTTTGAAAACATAAATTAGACCACACCGCTCTTCTACTTAAAACTCCCACTTCCTTGCTGCATCTAGGAGAATACTTTATCTCCTTACCCTGGTTTATAGGACCTGTAGGAGCTGGCTTTGGCTTTTCTCTCTAACTCATCTAGAATCATTGTCCCCTTCCATGGCCCCATTCCAGTCTGCCTGACCTCCTTCCCTTGCTTCCAGCGCTCTGGCCAGGATCCTGCCCCAGAGCCTTGTACTTGCTGCTCTAAGCTTATAGCACTCTCCCCTGGGCTCTGCCCAGGATGGGCTGCTTTTCGTATATCAGGTCTCAGCTCAAATGTCTCTGACCATGCCCTCTCAGGTAACTCCTTCCCTTGCTCCACATCACCCTGCTCTTTTCTTTGGTGACACGCTTTGGTGATCTTCTCTGTCAGTTTGATCATTGGTTGACATGGGATCAGTCACAAAGGTAAGGATGTTTAGTTCGCCACGGCATTTCTAGATACCTTGGCAGTTGATTCATAGTAGTAGCTTGAGAAATAAACAGTAAAAGAAGGTACGATCCGTGCTCTTTGGATCTCTATGCATACATTTGAAAATTGTGAATCATTAGCGGTTTTATTTCTCCAAAACTAGCTAGTCACATGTATGATTAAACATACATGTTCTTCCCAGGCACTGCACTGGCCCATCTGCATGGGGGAAAGTGCTTTATGTTGGGAAGTTATACATGGCCTGTTGTAATACTATGATAACATGGAGAAAAATACTTACTAATATTTGACTTAAGCACACAATGAGGAATGTATATAATTGTAATTGTTATAGTTATGGTTTACATTTACAATGCATTTCTTCCTACTTGTTCAGGCCTACACGGACTACCTAGCACATACTTGGCACTCAGTAAATATTTCTGAGTGAATAAATGAATGAATCGACTTGCTTAAAGAGTATACTGAGATTTCCATCTCAATTCCTCAAACCCTTTATCTATGCAAATCTAGTTTTCTTCCCAGGCCTATGCAAGCAAAGAAAATACAGAAATTGGATGCCGAGACTTAAGCGATTAAAACTTTGCTTTGCATATTTTCAGTTCGTGAACACCCCTTTTGGTCTGTCAGCAAGGTGCCTTTGCCATAAGTAAATGT